TCTGATATATGTAAATGATCTCCCGGAGGGTATAGATTCATTTCTCTCAATGTTTGATGACGATGCCAAAATTATGAGAAGGATTAAGACAGAGGAGGACTGCTTGAGGCTTCAAGAAGACCTAGACAAGCTGAAGGAATGGTCGAACAAATGGTTGTTAGAGTTTAATCCAATCAAATGTAATGTAATGAAGATAGGCATAGGGAGCAGGAGGCCAGATACTAGGTATCATCTGGGAGACGAAATTCTTCAAGAGTCAGAGAGAGAAAAAGACTTGGGGGTTGACATCACGCCAGACCTGTCCCCTGCAGTCCATATCAAGAGGATAACATCAGCGGCATATGCCAGACTGGCCTACTTTACACTGTTGAATGTAAACATCTTTATTACAAGCTTCTCTTGAGTGTTTTAATGTGTGAATCATGCCCATTATACTTCTTTTAATTACATTAGTTTCCGTTTTCTCGGTCTATACTCCTAGTTCAGCCTCATCAAAGCACATAGAATTCTTGTAGCAAACCTGATATTTCTCGTTGACCGGACCACACACTAGAAAATGAAGGGACAACGACGTTTCGGTCCGTCCTGGACCATTCTCAAGTCGACTGTGCTGATTGTGCTGGACCGTTCACAAGCTGATATTTCTCAATCTTTGTTTTGTGCTTTTCGAGGTGGAAGGGGGTCCACGCTGGTGCTGCACACACTAGCTCTACTCAGACATGTTGTATATACAAAGTTTTGAAAGCATCCGTATCAAGGCTCCTGAAGGCTGGGCTGATGCTCGCCGACTTAACATGTGCTGCTGATGTGATTTTATTTACGTGTGCATTAGGCTCATTCTTATTCTACTTTCTGGCTCGTCTTTTTCACTCTAATCTTTTTTTTCTCCTTCCTTTCATCATGTACTGTTCCTCAGGCCTTCTTACTCCTTCTTCCTTCTTCATGTTCTTACACTTAGGTAACTTCAGCTCCTCTTACCGCCTCTGCTCGTTCTAAGGCTCTTTATCAACTTTGCATCATCAGTAAACATCAGTAAACAGTGACACAAAAAGTGTTTAGTTTACCGGTCTAGTCACTTATGTATACAAGGAATAGCATGGGGGATTAACACTGGCCAATGTGGGTCTTCACCAAAGGCGTTCCACGTTCCAGTTTAATCCTATGTTACTCTTGTTTCCTATTTGCTCTCTTTTGAGTTAATGTCTTCTTAGGTCTGGTTTGTTATCGTGTACAGGATCCTCATGCGAGAAAATGTTATATTCTCTATTTATGTAATAGTAAGCAGTCTGGCCACTTTTCTTGTCTGAACTCAGTTATTCTGTTGTAGAACAAAGTTCATCCAGCATAACTTTTCCTTCTCTGTACACGTGTTGGGGCATTAAGTTAATTCTAAGAGTTAATAATTGTATTATTATTATTCTTTCTAGCACTTGATCAATACTTGATATTGATGATATCAATACTTGTATACTTGATCAATACACTGCTTTGATGCACGAGGGGCTCTTGTATGCATCTTATATCTTAGCATTTCATGCGCCTCCTCCAAGCTGTGTCCAGTCATCAACTGGAGGTCAGTGCATGGGGCTTGTATCTTTCACTATCCATGGTGAGGTGCTGTCAGGTCCAACAGCCTTTGTTTCGTTAATTCCCAGGAACTGGGTCATTACTTCTGCCCGTCACCACTATTGTACTCGGCTCAGTCTCAGGGGTAAAGGTCAGGTAGTTGCTCTGGCTTCACCTTGAAGACCTCTTGGAACTTTTCATTGAAGTCTTCACGTTTTTTCCCATCATTCAATGTTAAATCTTCACTTATCGTAGTAAGCCCTACTAGCTGGTCGTTTTTTGTGTCTAGTTGAAGCTTCCTCGAATTTCAGTCATTCTTTCATTTAGTTCTATTTTCCCCAGAATAGCCAACAGCAAGACGAGACAGCGAGACCCACGCCTAACTGTCCGTCACGTCCCAGATCTTGATGAGTGAACGCCAAGTCATGAATGCCAACTTGGAATGCAGCCCGTCCTCATAAACAAAGGCCAACGACCACTCCATCCACCCGCCAAACCCCCTGTTTATGAATGAAAAACGGTTTACACGCGACTCATAACTGATGACGTTCGAACACTTCCGGAACTACTGCTTCGCTGAGACGACTTTTGTTCGAACCACAACGCTGTAAGTGCTTCACCCACGTACTACAAATACACATAATTAGGTGAAAGGAAACATGCCTATAACCACTTTTATTTCGCCCGGGAATCGAACCAGGGGTCCTGGTTTGCGAGTCGAGGACGTAGGCTACAGGACCCATATGCACTATTTTCATGGAAAAGTAGAGTGACCGTGAATTACAGTTTGGCTTTCCATTTGCGGGATCGATAGGAAACTCGTTAGGCTTTTCAAGGACGGGCTCACCACCCGCCAAACACACACCGAGACTACGACGTTGGTACAACGTTCGAACAAGTTTTAACACCTCCTAACCAGTTATAAGAACCAATATAGCAAGTTGTAACAACGTTCCAATACGTCATAAACACGTTAAGCCAAGATGTAACAACTTTATTACAAGTTGTAACAAGCGGAAAATAGAGACAGTTACGGTTTGTGTTTCCAGGGCATAGCCCGTGTTACTTGCCCCGCTCCTGTGCCAGGTAAGTTACGGGCTCACTATAGCCCCGTGCTACTTGGAACTTGTTCCGAGTAGCTGAATCTATAACAACAACAACATCGTTAGGGTTACTGAAGTCCCTCTATAGCCAATAGTTTCTGACCTTCAATAGGACCTTTTCCGGCCCTATTTCTATCATGGGCCCGGTAGCGCAGTCGGGTTCGTTCCCGACTCACACTCGGGAATTCCGGGTTTGAATCCCAGGCGGGACATAAATGGTTGGTGGGGGTTTCCTATCATCTAATTCACCTGTTCACCTAGCTGTAAATAGGTGTCCCGGAGTTAGTCAGCTTGTAGTGGGGGTAGGGTCAGTAATTCGACCTTATGTGGGGGGAAGTGGGGGGGGGATCGATATAAGCCTAAAATGTATGTATATATATATATATATATATATATATATATATATATATATATATATATATATATATGTATATATATGTATATATATATATATATATATATATATATATATATATATATATATATATATATATATATATATATATATATGTTTACATGTTAGGTTTATATAGCCTAACGCTGGCTCCCTGTCCCCCGTTACAATGAAGTATTAAACAGGGGTAGGGGATACAGCTTTAGTTCTGGGGGATACTTAGTTCCCAAAACATATTTAAACTAATTTCCCAAAGGCCATTTCCGTCACTGGGTCGCCTGAGTGGGCTCGTGTTAGCACACGTTACGTCACTCGCTAATTACGTTATCGTACGTTATCGTGCAACGCAAGGGGCCTGACGGCTGAGTGGACAGCGCTCGGGGTTCGTAGTCCTAAGGTTCCGGGTTCGATCCCCGGCGGAGGCGGGGAAAATAGGCCGGAATGCCGCGCCAAAACACTTATAAACAACGGGAAATATCGTGACGTCATCAGTGACGTCTTACCTAACCAATGAACAAGTGACGTCATCAGTGACGTCTTACCTAACCAATGGACTAGTGACGGCATCAGTGACGTCGTCACATGCAGGCTTGCCAGATGCACGGTTCTGCACACAGAAACCTAACTGTCTATCGTCCAATTATCCTAACGTACCGTAAGCCTTACCTCGTACTGAACAGCTTTGGCTGTTTGGGCACATTACTCTATTAACTTAGCTCTGGGGCCAGATTCACGAAGCAGTTACGTAAGTACTTACGAACGTGTACATCTTTCCTCGATCTTTGACGGCTTTGGTTACATTTATTAAACAGTTTACAAGCATGAAAACTTGCCAATCAACTGTTGTTATTGTTATAAACAGCCTCCTGGTGCTTCGGAGCTCATTAACTGTTTAATAATTGTAAACAAAGCCGCCAAAGATTGAGGAAAGATGTACAGGTTCGTAAGTGCTTGCGTAACTGCTTCGTGAATCTGGCCTGTTATTTTCCGGTCAAATAAATCGTTTTGTCGGGGACAGGAAGACCGTGAATTTATATAATTTAGGTTTGTATCAAGGAGACATCCCCTTCCCCCCCCCCAAGGTCGAACTATTCACCCTTTCAAGAATGCAACCCCACAACAGTTGGATAAGTCCCGGATACCTATTTACTGCTAGGTGAACAGAGGCATTAGGTGTAGTGAAACTTGCCCAGCCATTTCTGTCCCGCCCGGGAATCGAACCCTGGATCCCCCGATAGCGAGTCGAGAATAGGGCCAATGTACGCGAGCCTAATCGTCAACTATGCTATTTGAGGTTAATATGATTTGCTAAGTTAACTGTTTCCTTGTACCGTGAGGGTAAATGCCCGCCATGCATACACTCTCTACACCGTAACAATAACTCCCAGCACCGTACAATAACTCCCAGCACCGTACAATAACTCCCAGCACCGTACAATAACTCCCAGCACCGTACATTAACTCCCAGCACCGTACATTAACTCCCAACACCGTACAATAACTCCCAGCACCGTACAATAACTCCCAGCACCGTACATTAACTCCCAGCACCGTACAATAACTCCCAACACCGTACAATAACTCCCAACACCGTACATTAACTCCCAACACCGTACAATAACTCCCAGCACCGTACAATAACTCCCAGCACCGTACATTAACTCCCAGCACCGTACAATAACTCCCAGCACCGTACAATAACTCCCAACACCGTACAATAACTCCCAGCACCGTACAATAACTCCCAGCACCGTACATTAACTCCCAGCACCGTACTGTCAGGCACGATACCCCTAAATCCTGAAACCTTGACCAGACGACCCGTCCTCTCTCAGGTGTGGGGGTGGATCCTCCTGTAATCATCTCAAGGTAACTTAAATACCTGTTTGTTCTCAACAATCTCCAAAAAAACTCGAATTTTTAGGGACGGAATTTACCTGCGCATTCCTCAACAGATGACGAATTCCCCGGTGCGGGTCACTTTGGAGACGGCATGACGCTCGTTGAAAGAATTAAGGGAAGATGATAATCAATGTGGCCAGGAGCCCGGAGCCGCTACTGGAACACCTCACCCTTTAAACAGTGAAAGTGTACTGAAGGTGGAAGATCGGCGAATGTGTATGTATGTTTGTGTGGGAGGAGTCCTCCCACGGCGGGTGGTGACAGGCTAAAGCTGTACGATGATTCTTTATCTTTATTCGTCTATATTCATCATGAATACTCGTTTTTTTCCTTGACTGACTGTGCGATGGGTGTTATATGTCTAGGTTTTAATGTATGTCTCATTGTCTCGATGTCCCACTTCTTTGGTTCTGTGATATATGTGTTTTAAAGGATGTCATTGAGAAATATATGATGCCACATGCCGCCAGCAGGTAACATTTGCTGATCAACAGGTGTGTAAAGAAAACGGGAAATGGATCTTCAAAGCCACCTCTCGCCTAAGAAAAAATAATCTACAAATAAATGCAAAATTAACATGATACAGTATTATGAAAATATATAATCTTACTGTTGTCTTTATTTTAAATTAATTGTCGTGAAATGTATTTTTTATACATAAAAAAGTTAATAAGGGATCAGTAAATTACATATAGTATATACACAATATATATAATTATATGTATATACATTGTCATATAGTATATACATATAATTTAATTTAATATATATATATATATATATATATATATATATATATATATATATATATATATATATATATATATATATATATATATATGTCGTACCTAGTAGCCAGAACGCACTTCTCGGCCTACTATGCAAGGCCCGATTTGCCTAATAAGCCAAGTTTTCCTGAATTAATATATTTTCTCTAATTTTTTCTTATGAAATGATAAAGCTACCCATTTCATTATGTATGAGGTCAATTTTGTTTTATTGGAGTTAAAATTAACGTAGATATATGACGGAACGTAACCAACCCTACCTAACCTAACCTAACCTATCTTTATAGGTTAGGTAAGGTTAGGTAGCCGAAAAAGTTAGGTTAGGTTAGGTTAGGTAGGTTAGGTCGTCGAAAAACAATTAATTCATGAAAACTTTGCCTATTAGGCAAATCGGGCCTTGCATAGTAGGCTGAGAAGTGCGTTCTGGCTACTAGGTACGACATATATATATATATATATATATATATATATATATATATATATATATATATATATATATATATATATATATATATATATAATATGCCAAATATGCCAAAACGGTTCAGGACAAATGGTGGGGGACCTTTGGCAAACCGCGGGCTTCCTGTCCTCATCGAGGCCACTAGAGAGATAGCGGCCCCTAAGGTAAATTCGGGTATATTCTTCAAATGGTCTGTTACCATCAGTTTGTTGTATCTGGGTTTAGCTTCATACACGAGTATGTTACATTTGTGTCAAAAAGAGTTTAGCCCAATTAAAAATGATTAAGATTATTTACAATTAACGTGTCAAGTCTGGGATCATGAACACATTATACTAAGAAGGTTAGGTTAAGTTGTGGTTTTCTATTCAGCTTTTCAATGTAAACTCAAATATTCACAATAAATTAGTATGTCCCATATGCACTTATTCATAAGCAAGATATTGACTATAAGCAAGTGCGAGAAGATACATTTGAATACAAGGATCAATAGTTTGATCAGAAGGCTAGAAACCCAGTTGTTTGTTCAAACTATATATAAATATACACTATTGGCTCCCTGATAATGGCAACCCAAAACTATATGTCGGAGACTGAGAAGCCATCACTGTACCGTCGACCGTGAGTGTCGAATGACCCGTATCGTCGACCGTGAGTAAATATTTGATGAGAGTGAAAGATAGAAATTGTGTATAGTTTATGCTTCATTCAAAATGATCTGCTACCTGATATTTTAGCCAAATATCCCCAGTTTGTTAACTGTATGCAATAACTGGGTGATTGTAACCTTTCCACCGCTGTCCACTGGATGGGTTGGGTGGTGGGAAAGGAGGAGGGGACGTCGGTGTGTAGGACAAACACATCAATTGTAACACTAGCTCTCCACATATGTCAGTTGCTTAATTTAGAAACTGTACTTGTGGTCGGTCTCGTGCCCATTGTTGATGTGACGACGTGCATTAAATATTACAACTATAGCACATCAAGACTGTAACTTGCTTAACTAAATGAATATTTGAGTTCCTAGAGTCCCTTGGCCCATTATGCGACTCTGTGAACCGTTCCACTACCGCCCACAGCATGGGTAAGGGGGTGTATAATGACTGAACTATACTGACTCATGCACTGTGTATGAGGCAAGTCATCCGCAGCACCGAGTGTGTGAGTGCATAGTCAGAAATAAGATTACCAGATAGCAGAGTCAGCACAGTAAATCTCGCTATTACGCTGCCGTTGTGTCTACAAAAGATTTACTTTTGTATCCTCAAAAGTCGAACTATTTGCTATACAAATACGAGTATTTATTATTATTTAAAACACAATATTGATATCTTAATTATCTTCTATTTCTAATTCCAATTATTGTTCTAATCCTCATTATTATTCTAATCCTCATTAGTGCTCTAATCCTCATTAGTGCTCTAATCCTCATTATTGTTCTAATCCTCATTAGTGCTCTAATCCGCATTATTGCTTTAATCCTCAGTATTGCTCTAATCCTCATTATTGTGCATTCTAATCATCTGAATGTTCAGCTAAGTAGCCTAAAATAAGAATGCACGATTGAAGTATACAAATGGATAAAAGGATATAAACAAAGGAAATACTAATAGTGTTAAATATATCAACAGCATATTGATGTAAAATGGATAAGTTTAATTTGAAGAAAGATCTAGATAAATGCAGGATTGGAAATAGAGGGGGGGGGGAGGAACAAATTACCGGGCAACATAATAGATGTGTGTCTCTCCTGTATCAATCTAAAATTATGTAGTTGTAGTTTAGAAGAATTATGTAGTAATGATAATACAAAATAATATTAGTTTTCAAAATTAAGTAGGGAGGGTATCGGCTAGACTCGCCCGTCTGTCTGGCACCTCGGGCCCCCCAGGACCTCTCCACTGTAAACAAATCTTGATAGTAGCTACTGTATGTATTGTTGTGTGTGTGGGGTGATAGTAGGCAGCAGCTCTCTCTCTCTCTCCTCGTACGCTCGCTATGACCTAGGTAAGGACATGTGCTGCCATCTTAATAGAAGGGATTTGGATAAGATATTCCTTGACTGTGGTTAAAACTATTAGGAGGTGTTGTGATGTGCGTATCGCGATACTATTGGGTCTGGTCAGTAATTGGATGGGTGACTTAATGGGCTTCATGTCACTGAGACTGATATTCAGTACTAGTAATTATTCCAGTTGGGTAAAATTTCCCTTATTAGCCATTTAAGCAGCGATTTCTGGTTTAACTTTGAAGGGGTCCTGTAGTACAGTTGGGTTCATTCTCGACTCGCAACAGGGAATTCTGAGTTCGAATCCCAAGCTGGATAGAAATGGGCGCGTTTCCTATCATCTAATGCATCTATTCACTTAGTAGTAAATGGGTACCTAGAAGTTAGTCATCTTTTTGTAGGGTTGCATCCTGGGAAGGGGCAGTAATTCGTCCTTTGGGAGGGACCTCGATATAAGCTTAACATGTATATGTACACTGGCTGTCTGTCCCCTGACAATGAAATATAATTATTAGGTGAATATCTGGCAACTGCTAGGCCTGTGATCTCCAAAATATGTATTGCTGTCTCTGGACATAGGTTATGACTTTGTCGAAAGGCATTTTTATTTATTGACCCAAATCTATATGATGGCTGATTTCAATGTTCGGCTGACTCGAATGGGTGATGGGCCCCATATAATTCAGGTTGTTGTGCATAGAAAGTGCTATCACTTTTAGATGATGGGTTGAAATATGGATGTTTGGATTGTAGGAGGAATAAAAGATGAACAAAAGTTTGAAATGGTGTAAGTTTTTAAAGGGAAAGTTTAATGTATTGTGCAAGATTCATGTGAAACAAAGTTGAAAGGGTGAAATAGCCCAGACTACATTGGAACCAAGCTACGTTTTCACACACCTTATGTACATTTGTAAAATGTTTTATTATTGTTCCCCCAAGAAGAGCTGTGGGGATCTTAATTAGTGCACCCAATTTCTATTGAATGATCCTGGTTTTCACGGTAAAGACATTCCGTATCCACAGTGACTTATGGCCATGGACGGTGATTAGTTTTGTTGGGGGTTGTACTGCAGGGACTGAGCTGATGTCATGAGTTGCATCCTGGTGAAGTTTAGAGTTATTTAGTTTGTATTTGCTTGTGGGCGGGACTCTTTGAGTGTCAAAATTAGTATTGCTATGTATTATCCTGGTGTTGATAAATATTGGTAGGACCTGTATCATTAAGTACATTTTTAGATATCTCTGGTTAAGGTCAATTATTGTGTATTTATTGCAGATAACAGAAATAATGAGAAGTGCCAGAGAAAGTTGTGTGAGAATAAGAGAGAGTGTTACTGAAGATAATGGTCTAGACCGAAATCTTGAAAAGAATTCTCTTGATGTTCACATGCACCATATGGCAGCTGCAGTAGATATCAATGGAGAGGGATTCTTTTCTCAGGAGGTAAGGTATTTTAGATCTTCGTCATACTCTTTACTGTTTGTGAATTTGCATTTCAGTCAAATATCTAATCTGTTTATAAAAAAAAGATGTTTGTCAATATACCAGTTCTTCACAAATGTAAAGATTATTCAGCCACATGGAAAAAAATAACTCTCACAAGAGTACCTAGAAGGCTCATTTTGAAGATCTTCCATTTGAGATAAATCTTGACCTCTCTTGTCATGCTAATCTTACTAATCAACACATTGTCAAAAGTACTTTTGAGTCTTTTTAATTTAATATTTTCTTTCTTTCAGGCAGTAATGATTACAGAATGCGATGGAGAATCGTATAATACAGATGCCACTCTTCACTTCTGTAGACGAATACTCAGACCTCGTGATGCTATCTTTTCCTGCTTAGGTATGATAATAAAATAAAGAAAAACTCAAAGTGAATTTACAAAGGAAACGCAGTAGAGGTCTGGAAAGGATGTGAAAGAAAAGGAGGACAGTTCGGAGGCAGGGTTAGAGGCAGGATTAAAATCTGGAGCTTTCTGTTATGACTACTCTCTCTCTTTCTTTATTTCATTAATGTAATGTATTTCAAAGGAGTTAGTTTACAGTGGACTCTTGATAAGTAAAATTGTTGAAAGCTATTTACTTAAAAGAAATCGACCATTCCCACTAACTTAATACCTGGGTAACTCTAATTGTGCATCCCTGAGGTATGTGTATGTGTAGTATGTACAGGTCAGGATTTGTCTCTGTCAGTCAGGTGATCATTTGTTTGCACAAACCATTAGAAATCAAATAACCAAACAGCTTGTGCTCCTGTAGAACCAAAATGCTAACTTGCAGCATCATTTCTCATTCAAGATTTCTTTGGGAGTGAATATTCAACAATTGTAAGACTGAGTAAATTAATGGTTCTAAAAAGAGAGTAAATTAATGGTTCTAAAAAGAGAGTAAATTAAATAAGATAAAGGTCAAGACAGTCGAGCTTACTGACCAGCTAAAGAATCAAAGGGCAAATACAACTCTACAAATCACTGAAGCTGGAGGCTGCAGTGTCAACACGTTACCTTCCCTGAAATATGAAACAAACATTTTGATGCAGCTCAGGCACCAGTTACAAGATGTGCTCTATTTTAAGGAAGAGTTGGGAAAAGTCTGTATATTCTGATGCAACTCTAATGGTTCAAGTCCACAAATTCAGAAAAAATATCAGTGCCTGGAACTGGACCAGAGGAGTGACCTTGAATAAAATGATGGATCAACCAGACTTCATCTGTATGACATACTGTAGTTGCTAAATGCAAAATCTGTATTCCCTAAAATAACTGACTTGATTCTAGGTGCCTAACAAAAAAAAAAAAAAAGTTTCCAAATCATATAAGGTTTGACCTGATTTCCTGGCCTTCAAAACTGTCTCTTGGACTTTGTAAGTGCTGCTATCTGTTTGTGATAGAAGTCAGAGTAGGGGTTGGAATAAATGTAAGGTTTCAAATGATTATGTTTGGAGTGGGGAATAGGTGTCTGTGTAGGGGTGGAAGGAACCTTTTGAGAAGCCACAGACTTTCTGACCCTGATGAGATTATTAGGGAGAGGGGGGGGGGTTGCCCTTGGGGTAAATTCAGGTTAATAACATGACAAGATCACTTGCAAAGATACCTGTCATGATGGTGATAGACGTCTCAAGAACAGGTGATAGAGAGTCCCTGAAGAGCCATGTATGAGCTAGCTATGGGAGTATTCGTGGGTCCTACTTAGAAAGGAGCATTTTTCTATGTTCAACAACCTATTATTTTTACATGAAAACTTATCTGAAGTTATTCATTTCATAGGAAATTCTAATTTATATTCTTTTAACATTTCAGGGTATCGTCCATGGAATAAGGATGGTGGTGACCAGTCGTTGTGTGTGAAGGTCTTGAATGTTGCATATTTTATCCTTTTCTTCCTTTGCCTCTGCATAGGACCTGTTCTGCAGTACAACATCTGTCTTAAGTAATTTGGTTTGATCCATTGTAGTTTCAAATAGCAATGCAAAATAAAAGCCACTTTGACCTTTGACCTCAATTTGTGACCCCATCTTTTCATGTTGACTACTAGGTTCTAAATTGGTTCATTAAAAATTACACGAGTAACTGTATTGACGTATATTAAATTTACTCGAGCAGACAGCATAAGTGTCTGGCAGACACTTGGCAGAACTGGATGAGATCAGAATAATAAATCAGGGTCTTGAATTATACAAAATTCTACCCCAGTAGTAATTAACTAAATTATTCTATTTTAGTATTTTGCGATGCACTGACATGCTATTTATGTTGCAGTAATAGGTTTTAAGAATTTTGCCCAACTTGATGTAATGGTATATCGTGAGATTTTGTTTTGTATTTTATTCTCCTTTCTGCTTCTTTTATTTTTTAACTCCCTGTTTTGTTGCTACATATCACACCTTCACTGATATTCTTTTTAACATTTGTTTATTGCATAGTGAAAATAAAACTGTTCCAGTATGTTAGCTTAACCTGCATGATTAATTCTATAGCGCCATTTTTAATATACTGTACTAGTGGAAGTTGTGTTAAATAGCTAAATCATATTATAAAAAATGTCGGAAGGAGTCCAAGTGAATTTTTATTTTGTGCTACCAGTTCAGACGTCCAGTATTCCGGGGAATCTTTGGATTAGTGAATTCATTGAAATCAAACTTACGGTTAAATTGGAAAATTTAAGAGGTGTTCCAGAGTTCTCCCTATGTACGTTTTTTCCACTTTTTCCCAATAAAACACATATCTGAATAATATTATTAAATATTCCTGTCACTTCCCAGTTGCCAGTGTATTGTACTGTATAAAGTAGAAATGTACACTAGCCAGTGTTGCAAATGATAGTAATTACCACTCTCAAGTCACAAGTATACAGTATAAAGTAGATTTGACTTTTCACCACAGTGTATATAAGAGTTTACATTACAGCAGGCATTTCGGAATAGTTGAAAGGTGAAATGATTCAGGAATATAATTAATAAGTGCGTAAAACTCCCGGAAACCTGTGGTAACTCATGTGTAGAAAACTATATGCTCGTATTGTTGAGATATTGTTAGTATTTTGGTGTTAAATCCAGTGCAAGTCCTGCTTTGTGTATTGTGAATTTCACAAATATTGAACTCCCATACATATCAAGGGCTGTCTTCATTATATTTTCCGAAGTGCTTATCAAGTATAAGTATATGATTAAAGTGAAATAGTCGATATATCTGAGAAATAATGTACTGTACTGTAGAATATATATTTTTAATATTTTAATTTTCAGAAGAGATCAAGGCTTGGGAAATGCAGTGCTCCACATTTCTCAGAATTTTACTACACATGGTAAGCAACACCATTGTAACCATTTTTACTGCAAGCCTATTCCTCAATGTAACCATCTTAACCACATATTGTCTTCATCACTGTAACCATTTTCACTACAAACAGCTCTCGACACTATAACCATCTAAACTACACACACTACTACATATAACAGCCATCATCATTACTGTACTTTCCTTCATCACCTTACCCCACCTTCCCTCTCCTTCACCACTTCCCCTCTCATCATCACCTCCCCCTCTCATTCACCACCTTCACAGAAAGCATAAGTGCAACAAAGCAAACTTCTGGTTTAGGAAAATTAAGTTCACTCGGGTAACGAGGTGGATATTTCCACAGTATAACACCTTAACTGTAATGCACCAAACTGCCACAGTTCACTAACTGGGTGACAGCCCAGTTCACACCTTCATTCACAAGTAAACCAAACTGAAACCATATACCACCCAAGAAATGAATTGGTAAACAAAAAAGTGTCCAGAACTTACCTGTGCAAGAAGATAGCTGGAAAAGAGAGCATGGATCAGAGGGGGCATATGCAGTGCATTTAGTACTGACATCCAACAAGGCCGTCCCAAACCGGCCGTTTGGGCTGGTCCCAAACCTGCACACAGAAATAACACCACATGAGACCAGAAGACATGGCAGGATGTGCAGAATACCCCCGTTGAAAAGCAGAGGTGCAACAGGTACTCTGAGAGAGAACTCTATCAACATCAGAGGCCCGAGACTGTTCAACACGCTTCCACTACACATAAGGGGCATAACTGGCAAACCCCTCACAGTGTTCAAGAGAGAACTGGATAAGCACCTCCAAAGGATACCTGATCAACCAGGCTGTGACTCATACGTCAGGCTGCGAGCAGCCGCGTCTAACAGCCTGGTTGATCAGTCCAGCAACCAGGAGGCCTGGTCGACGACCGGGCCGCGGGGACACTAAGCCCCGGAAGCACCTCAAGGTAGGCCGTGGAATATCCCAGGCAGAGTTTGTCAGCACCCACAACAAGACCAGAACCCAAACAGCAGCCCAAGATCATTAAAAAAAATAGGCTGGAAATGGCCATAACAGCCTGGAAACAATAGGGACATAACCCAGGAAAAATCCAAGCACACAGATCAGGCAAGACTGAGGCACATGGCCCAGACAACAATCAATCCTATGTTCTCTCTGGAGACATGAGTTCTTCCAATCTTTAATAGGTTTTGGGGGATTCCTGTTTGCATGTGATTAATGGAACCTATACTTTCTTGGCAGTTATGAAGAGTACTCGGTTTTGAGGTTGATCTTATATCTCTTTTTATTCCCTAGCTTTTATTTTAGTATGGCAGATTCTGGGCCTTGTGTTCAAAAGGCATGTGCATGTCCAGAGGCCTGGTAGTTTTATGGTACCAGAGTTGATACACTAGGAAGCTACTGAGGGCCTGTCCAGAAATAGTGACACAATATTAATAGTAGTTTTTCTAATTCGGTAAAAACAAACAACATTGCATTTAATATTGCTTTGATTAATACTATTTATGAATAGTGTTTTGAAAGATAACTTCAAGAAGTGATCCATTCCTTCTGGAAAGTTTTTGTATTCATTCTGAAGGAATATTTTTGGAAGGAATAAGTGGGTAATACTGAAATTTGACAAGTTTTTATATATTTATATATATTATCACAGCCTGAGAACCCTCGGATCAGACTCTGCATTGTCAGCATAACACTTGGCTTGAATTGTATGTTTCGTGCAGAAGGGAGATAATACAGTATCATATACATAATATATCTGATAATATACTGTATGATAATACAGAGATACAGTAATTCATTTCTCCTTTCCAGGTAATGGAGACAGTCACTGGTGTTCTGGAAATTTGGTCTTTCTATACATCATTCCCAGTCTGATGTTTTTCTTTGCATTTTTAGTAACATGCATTGTCCTGAGGCTGGGTGAATCAGAACACCTGCAAACATTATTAGAAAGGGTATGTTGAAATTTGTTTTAATTATAGATTTTATTAATTTGCAGAGCGGTTCTCCATATATCCTGAATATTGTCCATATGTTGTGAAAGTTAACTAGATAGGTGAAAAATGGTGATAGATATATTGGATATATTGTATTATTTCAATCTTTAATGCTATATTTAATTTAATAATTCCATTTCCAAGAACTCTGGGTCTCAGAATTTTTCTCGGATATTTAGGCTACCCACCTTTACTTTCCCCTTATCTTCCTCCTCCTCTCTTTTACCATTTGTTAATCCTTTACTCTTTCTGACATCGTTTTCTTTCCCCATGGTAATAAGGAAAATTACAAGCATGAATTTGTTGTCTTTATAAATATCTTGCTTTTGTGCCATGATTTTTTAAAACTTACATTTATATTACTGTACTGTACAGTACTTATTTAAATTATTTCAAGTACAAGGTTTATGTACTCAGTTATGTTGATCAGTGACTAAAATAGGCTTTTAAGATTTGTAAACTCTATTGCCCTCATAATTTTTTGTTTTAATGACTTCACATTCTATATATGTGTACTGTATATATATACTGTATATATATCTCAAATTGTTTCCATGTTATAAACAAGTATATCACACTTTGAGCTTAAACAACCATTGCTCACGTAAACAATGTCCTCGCCTATGGATGAACACATTCTCCTGATTATGATAATCTGTCCTGTGCCTTTATGTAATTGTTTAAAAGTTTAGTTTATAAATATATTGTAAACGTATGAAACAAATTTAAAAAAATTGGTATCTGAAATTGTGAAATTTGATAGGTAGAGGTTGGGGGAGAAAAAATAAAAACCCAATGTTACCTGATCTGGCCTGGCTTGCAATAAGTGTCAGGCAAGTAGGATAATTCAGAAGCATGGCTTTGAGTATTCAATATTTAATGCTCAATGTGTAGGGCATCTTCAACGGTACCATTTCTAGTATTTAATCAGCATAGATAAATATTATTAATTACAATAGGCTACTTGTGATTAAACTGCCCAACCACTTGGGCTGGACAGTAAAGCAACAGTCTCGCTTCATGCAGATTGCCATTCAATCCTTGCCCATCAAAGTGGCTGGGCATCATTATTTTCCTTCTGTCCCATCCCAAATACTTATCCTGACCCCTTCCAAGTGCTATATAGTCATAAAGGCTTGGCACTTTCTCCTGATAGTTACCTTTTGTTCCTATCTTGAGGTGTTTTCAGGGCTTAGCGACCCCGCTTCTCGGTTGTCGACCAGACCTCCTGGTTGCTGGACTGGTCAACCAGGCTGTTGGACGCAGCTGCTCGCAGCCTGACGTATGAGTCACAGCCTGGTTGATCTGGTTCTGATTAAACTCTTAGACTAATTTTGTAGCAACGTAAGAACTTAACAAAATATTTCAATGTACTGTACTGTAAATTATGCCCTCACCAACCAGAGCCCAATATACTTTGACAATGCATTGATTACTTTTTTACTTTCGTCCATGTTGTCTTTAATGTTTGCTTATTACAGTACTTCATTCATCCTTTTGTCTCAGCTGTATTTCTTGTATTTGCTGTATCATACCTGATACAGTGAAACTTACATACCTTAGAATACAAAAGATTTGACCCTTATATTGCTCGGTTATTTAAAAGTACAACAACGTGGTGTGCGTGGCAAAAATAAGTTAACAAATTAAATGGGAAAATTCATGTGTCAATATGTGTACAGAAGGTAATCACAGTAAGCATTCAGAAGAGTGTAAGGGGTTAATAAGTGTTACCCTTAGGGCATAGGAGCAGTCCATTATTATGGTTCTTTAACCAGTTTAAAATATAAAGCCTTATATTAATAGTAGTACAGTGGCGCCTCGATTAACAAGTTTAATGAGTTCCGGTACTGAGCTCGTCATGTGGAAAACTCGTCTTGCGAAATAACAACAAAACTATTGTCGGAGGTGTCCAAGAACCAGCGGGAATGCTCGTTAATCGAGCGAAAGCTTGTCAGTCGAAACATATTTTCTGCGAGTGGCTTGCTCGTTACTTGAAATGCTCGTAACTGGAGCCGCTCGTTACTCGAGGTTCCACTGTAGTAGTGGAAAGGTCAACCCCGGAACTCACAGTTCCTGCGACGGCTCTAAAACAAATCGTATTGGCGTATGCCTTTCCATTGGAGACTTTCAGCGCCGTGGAGAAGTGGGACCTGCTGCCTGGGTAACAGCTTCTCCCCTGAATCAACCTACCCTGGCTTTGCACCCTGGTGAGGCCACTCCAGACTGACAACCAGAGCGTAACTCCATAGTCTCCTGAGACTGATGGATGCCTACTACTGTAGTAGTAATTTTCATTTGGCACCTGACAGCTGGGTGGACAGCGCTTCGAATTCGTAGTCCTGAGGTTCCGGGTTCGATCCCTGGTGAAGGCGGAGACAAAGGGGCAAAATGTTTCTTTCACTCTGATGCCCCTCTTACCTAGCAGTAAATAGGTACCTGGGAGTTAGACAGCTGCTACAGGCTGCTTCCTGGGGGGTGTGTAACAGAAAGTAGGCCTGTTCAAGGACCGGGCCGCAGGGATGCTAAGCCTCGAAATCTTCTCAAGATAACCTTAAGATAGGCATTCAGTAGTAGGCATTTTGGGCATATAAAAAGGAAGTCAGTATCTTGCATTGTTTTATATCACTGGAACATGGAATAATAAATTACTGTAGCTGTTGATAACTCCAAGACAAAGTAACAAGCACCTTGTTGCAGGTCTATCTACTAGCATCATGTTCGCCGTGGGAGTTTGTAAAGCAGCGTCGTCTCTGGTGTATATTTGTGGGCTGGCTAGTGGTGGGGATAATATGTCTAATTTTATCCCTAACCTCCATGCTTCTGCATATTTTTGCTGCAAAATCTATTTCATATACCTTCATTCATCCCCAGTAAGTACTTTGCTCTCCATGGATGCACTGACATGTTAATGATATTCACATTTGTAACTGCTTTATAATTAATTTTTATATATCAACACTTGTAAAACATGTTTAAACAAAATTGATGAAATATGACAAAGCTTTTCTAAATGTATTACATATGTTAATTTGTGCTTGTCTGTTCTTTTAACAGAGATTTCTTTCTTAAGAAAGGCACAGTGGAGTGGTTAAGCAGATACTAATAACTATCTCTTTATCAATATTGCAGGAGTACAACAGATGCAATACTCCTGTGCACTGGAGCAGTAGGGTCACTGTGGTTGGAGGATGTTGTGGTGGTGATGGGAGTGCTGTTGTACTGTACACAGTGTCACTTACTCTCGAGGCTGCTTGAAATCATCAGGACAACCTTATATCAGGGCACAACTTCACTGATGAGCATCAAGAAGGTAACTATTTTTTTTAAAGTAACAATAATTTATAGGTTACCTTGAGGTTACCTCGAGGTGCTTCCGGGGCTTAGCGTCCTCGCGGCCTGGTCGTCGACCAGGCCTCCTGGTTGCCGGACTGATCAAACAGGCTGTTGGACGCGGCTGCTCGCAGCCTGACGTATGAGTCACAGCCTGGTTGATCAGGTATAATGGGTGACCATAGTGTCATTTACAATTCATTTAATTAACATAAATGAAATGCATAATACAGAAGCAAAATTGGGTGCTGTTCCACATGTTATGTCTAAATAAAATAGAACAAAATAGCATAACAGCCTTAATTATAAATCAAAAGATAACATTTATGTGTAGTATATCCCTAGAGTAATCGCCCTTTTTTTCAGCAAATTGATGAAACGTCAAGATTTCTGCGTCACCTAAACCAAGAATTAGGCTTAAGTGTTGGACTGTATCTCTGCCTTGTTGTTTTCAGGGCAATTACAGCTGCTTCAAGCCTTTTCTCAGCAATTAGGCATTATGAAATGTCTAAAGTAGGTGATGTTATGCAAATGTATTTAAATGAAATTTTGCAAATATCTTTTTTGCCTAAACTATTTTTGTTTATGTAAATAGAGTAACTGTAGCATTATTACTAGAAAATTATGAAACTTTGAAATTTTTATGGTTAATATTTTATAAAAAAAATTATGCAAGATAGCTTAACTTTTTCAGCTGTAATAGGATAATAAATATCCTGGGCTATCCCATGCAGTTACTTCCTGAAGCAAATGCATACTGACTTCTGGTATAATCAATCTGACATAATCAAGGCAGATCAACTTTCTGCAAAAGGTGTAGCCGAGACCCTTTCAAACTGTTGCTAGTGGGTCATACTGGGTCATACTGTTGCTGGGGAGACACTGAAGAATACTCAATGCAAACAAAGTACATTACATAAACTCAAATAAAAAAAATCAGGTGTTGAGTGATATAATAAAATCCCATCTAACTAATGACATAATAATTACCACCGGTTATGGTTACTTGAATACAAAAGGGCATAGGGTCCAACATAGAACTTGCACAACACTCTAGTAATGGTCCATTCTCCAAACAGCTGCACACTCTCTTGGCTTCAACACAACAAGGCTGCCTGGTTGACTGTGCATCCCACACCATTCCCGTATTCTCTTAGTGGTTTTCAACATTTATACCTGTGTCTTCTCGAGTGTCTGGTATATGATTTACAGATATAAATTATTCCTTTAATAATCTGCATCCTTTTTAATCTCTGGGTGCTTGTATTTGACACACTTCCAGCCCTTGAGCTCCATAACACTGCTTTTGAGACTGGCATACATCACAGAATATTTAGCATCCATGCAGACATATACACAGACAGCCCTGGGACCAAGACTTTAAATGACAGGGGGCACTTTTTGGAGAATTACTACTACTATGCCTTAAGTAATCAAATATTACAGCCCCTGACTTACACTGGGATGGATTGAGAATACCGTTCGGTACTGGTACTTTAGTGTCTCCATTCTCCCATTTATAGGCTGGCAAAAGTGGCTTACAAAGATCCTTGCTGCATTCAGGGTTGTGATGGTCTCGGCGGTGACATAAGAATTTAGATATGTCCAAAGTTCAGCTGGACATTTGCCTAAGGAAATGGCTGAATAGATTGTTCGGAAAGTAGCTTTTCATCTGCATTCAAAGCTTTATTATTTTACAGGCATCAGAAACACCTACTGCTAATAGTGCGTACGGAAATCTTGATAAACATTTTGACATTAATCAGGAGCTTCATATATCAGCTATGATTACCAACCTTCTTCCATGGCTAATGCTGACCACAATGCCCCTTTATATGGCAGCACGAGTGTCAAGCAATTACCGGACACTGAGTAAGGTGAGACAGATTTCAGATTTTAGCAAATGTTTCTTAAACATTATATTTCTCTTCTCCATCCTATGATCTGCATCTTCAGAATACATCTGTGAGGTATTTCACTAATGTGAGAGGAACAGTCTAGGAAAATGTATAGCTAATAATGTTGTGAAAATATTAGTTATAGGATGTAGCTTGTAATTTGGTTAGTTTAAGTTTCCTGTGTAAGCACTAGTAATAGGAAGATTAAAGGGTCGCCCCCCCCCCATTCATCAATTGATCATTCTCTTCCTTGAATACACTTATATAGGAGCACACAAGTAGTCTGTTGTATTTTCTCCATCTCTACCTTTCCTTCAACAAATGTTTGCCATTCTTTACTTGCTTTGCACCTACTTTCTCACTTGCATACGTTTCCTGGAATGACTCTATTTCTCTAAAATACATTCTTGTATATCTGCAAACACATGACTTTGTTTATATTATAGCTCAGCCATCACTAGTTTCTTGGCAAAGTTTTCACATTCTTCTTGAGTCTTCAATGTATTGGCATTTAAATTTTGTTTTATGTTAAATAAGAGTAATTCCTAGAGGGAACTAGATATTAAAGATATGTAAAGAAAGCTTTTGTTATATTTAATGTATGTGTGTATACTGTACTATATGGCAATGTTTTACAATTTTAGAATTAAAATTGTTAATCTACGAAGTGGATTATATCTTCTTTTTCAGGCTGGTTGCCAGTTACATGGTCGACCCTTCGGCTATCAGTCTACACCCCAATTGGACATCGATTCTTTCTTATTATATGTTTCCAGTTTACATTTGCAAGCAAAGATATTATGGATTCCTGTTCGGACTTATTTTCTTGTGTCCATACTAGTTATTTTAATTATGTCTCTAGTTATTCTGAGTTATTTGTATCTATAGATGATCAATGATGTGGAGAGTTAACAAATAGAAAAATATTCTACTGTATATTTAAATGGATTTTATGATATGATTAGACATGCTGTTAGTGCCTGGTTTCACCATGTTCCACCTGGTCATCGGCAGAATATCATGAAATCTTGCATAAACACATCTCCATGCAGCTTGATCTTGATACAACTCTGGTCGTCCAGAGCTTGATCATGGATGATCATCCATGATCATCCATGATCATCCATGATCATTTTACACTTGGACACATAATTTGTACATGTTTCCATGCTGCTAAATCTTACAAATTATATTTAGCCGTTTTCTTTATCAAAAGATGAACCATTTGCCATTAAGTGTTACAGAAGCTCTTTAGGAGACTATATGAGTTGGCTTATCATATAATATTGGTAGGCTGTTACTTAATTATTCAAATGCATTTTTTGTTATAAAAAAATGCACCTTTATATGTCCCTGCATTGCATATGTGAAAGGAAGTAATATATAGCATAACTGTGCAATAATAAGATTGTATTTTGTGTCACAAATATTTATCTAGACAGAAGTCACAAATGAAAGCTTTAATATGAAGAGATTTTATCGAGTTGAAAATCTTGCATGAATTTGATGGAAACAACAGTAAACAAATCTTTGGAAAGTGTGAGAGCATTGTAAGAGAGTAACAAAATAATCTTGTGTATATTATATGTATGCACCAGCATCTCAACTTTTTTGTTGGTACTGTACATTAGAAAGAAATGGGGAAAAAAGGTTTGCATATGGTAATGGTGTGCTTTCATTTGTTTACACTGTTTACAGAGATACTATGGAATAAAATTCTAAGATGAAACATATGCTGATAACCTAACCTGTGCTATACTAATATTGTACTCCATTGATAATCTGTGATAAATGAATAATTACAAAATGTGAAGTGCTAAATTTGTGCAAGTTATATATCGTAGCAATATTTTCAGCTATGTTGACCAAACCACACACTAGAAAGTGAAGGGACGATGATGTTTCGGTCCGTCCTGGACCATTCTCAAGTCGATTGTGAGGATGGCCCATGCCGGACCGAAATGTTATCGTCCCTTCACTTTCTAGTGTGTGGTTTGGTCAACATATTTCAGCCACGTTATTTTGACTCCTCGTCTGCATTTTCAGCTATGCCCTGATATTATTATTTATAACAGGAGATGATTAGTCTGAATTAATGTTAAGATTATTTTCAGAAATAAAACAATGACTGTGAAGGCATTTATGTGGCAGCTGTTCTCACTTGTCTCTTTGTGCATTTACCGTATCAAAGGTTATATCTCTTGAGTTTATGCTGTGGATTTGAATCCAGTATGGTATCCCACAGTAAAATATTCCACAATACAGTATCCCACAGTATGGTAGTATTCGATAATACAGTATCCCAGGCAGTACACAGTAGTTAGCTTTAAAGGTTCATTCATCAATATTGCTACAAATTTACAAGCTGCATTATGCAGTTAATTTCTAGCTGGCAGCCTCTCATTAGTGTATCAATAAAAAAATTTAACTTTGTTAACCATGCATTAATAGATATGTAAATACTTGAATTTTAGTGGTTGTGGATCAGTGCATTGGAGACATTGTTCTTCAAACCCATGAACTTAATACATGTGCTTCTCTTGACCAAGGGGTGAATGATACTGGTTTGCAAAGTCAACGGCAAGCTTCGCGTCCTCAGATGATACCTACTAGTTTCCTGAGTATATATTATATTCCTTTGAAGGCAAAAATAGAGCCAAGGGACCAAAGAATTTGTGTGTGTGTGTGTGAAGACCTAAATCATTGCAAGCCTGTGATAGAGGCAGGCATGGAGGAATATTCGGGAAAATGTAGATGGCTCTGGAATTGTTATGAAAGGATGTCTGTTAAAGATGCGAGAAATGCACATTAATTAACTAATAAGATCAATATTGATTTTTATTTAATTTTTCCAAGTTATTCAACATTTAGAGAGAGTAACTACCTGTAGGCTGTGAATTTTATATTTACCTGAATTTACCTGATTATATGAAAAAGATTTATATTTAAAAAAATAATTATATGGTGCTGACTAGTAGCTTCAACTAGTTTTGTTATTTTTTTTAGTTTATATTGGCAATAATTAAACTTTTTATATAAATAAATTTTTAAAATTCTTAAATGTCTTTTTTGACTATGCATAAACAAGATTTTTTAAATTGTGTAAATAGAAAGATGGTGGGCATTGTAATTATTTAGGTATGTATACAAACTAAAATTATACAGAAGTTGTGTATATTTGGTTAATATCTATTAGAAATGTTATTACACAGAAGGGGTTTCCCAAACATGCGTTCGGCATATCTGCTTCCTCATTCAAATTACTTTAGTCTCAAATCTTATGAAGCTCTTATGGCTGAAGGGTGAAACCTGGACCATGTGTATCTTACTATTGGAACTATATTATCTATATATAACTATATTGTTGCTCACCTTGTAGAATGTCCTGATTTGCTAGATAATTAGAAATTGCTACTTTCTACTGTTTTTAAGGGTTAACTTTTGGCAAACCTCCCTGCCTCCGACATCACTCCTCTACGTTTTTCATATCATACGAGTTTGAGAATAGGAGCTCTTGAATATTTCCAGCAAATATTTAAGAGCTCCTAATGTAGTTGCTGGAAACCAAATTTCCAGCAAGTACAGTATTAATTTGATGATAAGATGGCTGTATTCTTTTACATCACAGTAAAATTTGAAGTGCTTGTCAAAAGAAAGTACTATCCATCCTGACTTAGTACTTTCTTTTGACAAGCACTTCAAATTTTACTGTGATGTAAAAGAATACAGCCATCTAATCATCAAATTAATACTGTACTTGCTGGAAATTTGGTCATTGTGCTTCAGTAGCACTGATAGGTAATTTGGCATGGTTACACCGACAAGGAGACAAAACGGAAGCTAAGGACTCAAATGAACCACAAAGAAGTTAGAAATAATTTTGGAGTGCCAGGATAGTCAAATGGAATGGACCAGGAAATGATTTGGGGGAAGGCAGATTCCATACATAGCTTCAAATGTAGCTATAACAACCTGATAGAATTGAAAACCTGTTCACCAGTTGATTGAAAGTCGAGAGACGAACAAAGATCTGAAGCTTATTTCCTGGAAGCACAATGTGGTAAGTATAAGTACATCACATGTTGCCCACACTTCAGCAGGCAGGCAACCAATGCTTACCACATCCCTTGTCACAAACACTAAACACCAATAAAACAACACTACAACATTGAAAGATTAAATATAAATAAATCGAACTTAGATAAAATAACCAGCAGATATAGAAATATTATATAAAAGAGCAAACCCAACAGAACATTGCATTAATAAGAAGGTAAGTACAGTAATCAAAGTCACTTTCATTTGTCGCCTGAATTTGGCATCAGTTGCCTCTACGTTACTTTATCCAACAAACGTTACTGTTCTTGCAATAGCCATTAAGCTATGTCCACTTACACTTCACCTTGACATGCATTGTCCCTCTTATTGGTCATTGGCACAGCTTACTTGCAAGGCACTGTATAATGTACATTCATCAAAATTAATTATAATTTCCATGTTTATGAAGCTCAATATTTATGGTTACTCTTATAAAATATCCTAACTTTGCTTCTGTTTACGTTTGCAGTAAACTGCAGCTCACAAGATGAATATACGGTGCACAATAAACTACCACTCCCAAGATGAATATGGGGATGTACAATTAATTACCATTCACAGGTTGAGTATGGGTTTACAATAAACTACCACTCGCAGGATGAGTATGGGGTGTACAATAAGCTACCATTCACAGGTTGATTATAGGTTTACAATAAACTACCATTCCCAGGATGAGTATGGGGTGTACAATAAACTACCATTCACAGGATGAGTATGGGTGCACAAGAAACTAGCCGTCGCTGTCAACAACAACATTAAAAAAGAAATCTTTGTATACTAGTCCATCCTCCAGTAATGAAAGTACTCACAGCAACTATTTAAAATCATATGTATAAAAATGGACAGTTGGACCCCAAAAATATATCTTTTCTTATTATTGAATTATTTACCTGAATTTACTTGAGGCCACTAACACTAATGACCTTAACAAGGACAGGAAGGTGGTGGCTTGTCAAATTATATCAAATGGCACACTAAGAAAATGGAAAAGTAACTAAAGAACCTATCATTCCTTGATTTGTGTTGCCAGGAGTTGCCCTTTCTGCAGAGCAGCTATTTAATTGATTAAATATTGATTTAATGGGGGGGGACGGGACTCCTCTTCCATTCCCTTAAATATGCAGCCCATACTGCGCGCCGTGCAGCGCCCACAGAAAGCGCTGCACGAATGTCTTCTTTCCCTACCAGAAATTCCCCCGCTTTCTAAGGAAAGCAGTGTCCATTTTAAACAAATAAGCTAACTTATAACTTAACGGTAAAACTTGTTTTATATTTAGATATTAAAACAGTTAACGAAGGTAAGAGATGTACACAAGTGTTTCTTAATATTTATTACAAATCCCATTATCAGTTAATACAAAGTTGGTAGCGTGTCTTTGAGCGCATTATATTAGCAACCGAACATAAATTAGGTGATATTTAATTTACGGTCTGCCCTTCAAAGTAGAAGCTATCAAAAATATCATACATGTTTTTGGACGTAATACACTGTTCATATTTATACTTAAACAATAATTTAGAGACTGTGTGTGAAAAACATTTTAGTGGATTGATGAGAGAAAGATATTTAGCACCACTCACGGTAAAGTCATTCTACACACTCGGGGAAATGTTAATGATAAACATCAGTCACAGTAGCATTAAACTAGCACCTTGAACGCTTAATTTAGCGGTTGGCTTGTAATAGCCGGGACCCGGGGGCCGCTCCTCCACCCCCTCCTGCGTCGTCGCCTTCTAGCGCGTCGCTCCCTCTGCCAGAACGGTAGGGTCTTCTGCTCCAGAGAATGCATAGCGTCCGATAGGTAGTCCAAGTGCTTGTACTCGTGGTTTTGCTGGAAGTAGGCGATGACGATGGAGAGTGAGTAGCGCGCGTCACAGAGGCTCACCAGGCCGGGGTCATCTATATCCTCCAGGAAGCACTTGCTGTCTTCGTAAGGGTTCCTGTCCAACCCACGGAAGAAACGAAGGTTTGTCAGTTTCTGTCTTGTGTACGATTTTATTGGATGAAGAGTTAAATGTTTTAGACAGAGAGAAAGACATAGAGCGAGATATAGGCGAAGAAACAGCGATACAAAGGCAGACAGAAAATAATAACTAAATAAGGACCAAATATATGATGTTTAATAAGTTAAATACAGAATTCAAAACAATCAGCTGGAAGATGAAGGCTAATTGCTAGTTAACCTTGTAGCACAAAGTCAATCAGTGTTTTATTGACAAAAGCAGTCACAGGTTTTGGTTAACTCTAGATTAATATAACCAGCATGGGCTTTTACAGTCAATGTTTACGTACTGAGGCCTGGTAGAGTTCACACCACGCTCATCTGGGAGACTTTTGTTGTCTGTTAGAGTTCTGTTGTTGTTAACTGTTCCTCGCACACATTAATACACACACACACACACACACACACACACACACACACACACACACACATGCTTACACACGCACATGCTATCACACACACACACACTTGCTTAAACACAAACACACTTGTCGGTATCCCACTAGCCAATTAGGGAGAGGCTGCGTCCAAGTGGCCATCCACCCAGTTAATAATTAGATCCGACGGTGCTTGACAGACTGAATAGTGGACACAATATTCATTATCTAAAGCTCTACGTCTTTTATGAATAGTATATACCGTTGGCTGTCAGAGAGTGTTACATTAATTGTGCATGACACAGGGATGTTGCTTGCCTGTCACTCGACAAGTCTGGTCTAAGCCAATAACTGGATGGGTGACCGTCAGAGCAGCCTCGCCCGAGGCCAAGGGGACCTCTAGAAGCCTTCCTCTTCCCCCCTAACTCAAAATAACACCCAGATAGGTTTTCTTCGAAGCATGATATAGTGGTTATATGCGTATCTTTAAAGGCTCTCCTATATATGATTTTTAGACATTTAAAAGTTCAGAATTAAAGAACGTCATGCAACTAAGAGTAACAATGTTAAATACTGGCCTATACAGTATACGCAGATATGCAAGTTAGTATTTTGTAAAGACTATGGTCATGATTCTGTGGTTTAATGGGCTGGGAGCCATGCAAGTGTTCAAAATATTATTGCCTATATATATATTTATATATATGACAGTTGAGGTAAAGCAGGAGCATATAAGTGAATATTTAAGTGGCTCTTATGGTGAACAGAATCATGTAAATCCTAGACTTTTTACACCAAGACAACGAAATATTCCAGCTGTATATTTTCCGTCACAGGACTTTTTTTTTTTTACCAGCTGCATATTTCTGTCTTATGGTCTCCTCCAGCTGTTGGTTTCATGAAGCAGTTCTCGAGCAAGAGCACGCAGGACTGACGTGTTGCTAGCGACGGGGCCGGCGGCTGTCTCCTCTTCATTTTGATTTCTTCTTTGCTTTTTCTGCTTCTGCCTGCCGTCCTTCTTCACGTTCTTCTTCTTGTTCTTCTTATTCTTGCGATTCTTTTTACCTCGTCCTCTTTCTTGGGTCTGGTGTACTTCGGGAGAACCACCCCCGAGAGTTCGAGCGCTCTTGAAGTCTGTAGTTAAGTGGGAACTGATCTGAGGATTAGTGTAAGTGAGACCAGGCTCGGTAGGCTCTGAGACTCTCAAACCAGGCTCGGTAGGCTCTGAGACTCTCAAACCAGGTTCGGTAGGCTCTGAGACTCTCAAACCAGGTTCGGTAGGCTCTGAGACTCTCAAACCAGGTTCGGTAGGCTCTGAGACTCTCAAACCAGGTTCGGTAGGCTCTGAGACCCTCAAACCAGGCTCGGTAGGCTCTGAGACCCTCAAACCAGGCTCGGCAGGCTCTGAGACTCTCAAACCAGGTTCGGTAGGCTCTGAGACTCTCAAACCAGGTTCGGTAGGCTCTGAGACCCTCAAACCAGATTCGGTAGGCTCTGAGACTCTCAAACCAGGTTCGGTAGGCTCTGAGACTCTCAAACCAGGCTCGGTGAGACTAAGACCAGGCTCAGTGACACTCAGACCAGGCTCGACAGGCTCCAACACATTCAGTTTACGTTCAGCGAGCCCCGACCAACTATCTCTGTCTGGCAATACCATGCCACCGTTGACGTCGAGAGCCGAGGACGTTGGAGTGAGAGACTCCAGAGCGACGCCTGCCAGGATCCGATGACCTGACGCAGCTTCCGGACCGGCGAAGTCGTCCTCCACCGTGGTCTCACTTCTTCCAATGGTCGTCTCTCCGAGGGCGGGAAGAGGAATGGAGAACCTCGCTAGGTTAGACACAGGGCTGTTGATGGATATAAAAAACTGATCTTATCACTTCTAGCAATGTATGTTATGCTTTTAGCTGCTAATATGTCGAGAATATGCACGGGTAAGTTGGGAAAACACTGCCGCTAAAGGGATCAATCATATAAAATACAAGAGTAGGTGTTTTTACCTGGCATTTCCATGATTGTCGTAAGCTTTTAGGGCCACGTAGTAAACATTGCCCTCCTGCAGCGGCTCCTGCAGGGGGATGGTCACCCTCACTGCCGTCCCTGCTACCTGGTACGCTCCAGCGGCCACCAGGATCTCCGACGCTCGCAGAAGAGTTCTTTCGGGTGCTCTGTCGAACTGCGACTCTTGCAGGTCATTTATCCGGTCAGTGAGCCGGATGACGTAGCTGGAGGCTGAACAACGTTATAAAATGAGAGCAAATGGACAAATAATGACTGAATAATTCTTGTTTTTGGGAAATGTTTTGCATTTAGAGACATTGTTTATGTCTCGACGGTGGAGAAGGCAGATACTCTCACCTGTGCCGTAGTCGAGGTCGTCGCCGGGGGTCGTCCAGGTGAGGGTGACGCTGTGGGTGTCGAGAGGCACGACCTTCAGGTCTCTCACGTCCACGGGCGGGTAGTTGTCCGTGTCCACAGCTGGCACCTCAATCACCTACACACACACACACACACACACACACACACACACACACACACACACACACACACACACACACACACACACACACACACACACACACACACACACACACACACACACACACACACACACACACACACACACACACACACACATACACATACACACACACACCCACATACACATACACACACACACATACACACACACACATACACACACACACATACACACACACACACACACACCAGGAAGAAGAGCTTGCATTACACAATCACTATATAACGAATCAATAAATTATCAGTAAAAGGACAATCTTATATACTAAAAGTAAGAATAATTCCCCACATTGATCATTTAACACTACTTTCATAATTTTGACTCTACCACAGAGCGATATTAATCACATAATATCCATATCCATAGAAATGAGTAATAAGAACCGACTATTGTACTCTACTTCTAGGTGAGTATTCACAAAGAGTTTACTTCAGTCCTGGGCTATGAACAGGACCAAAGTATACTTGCTGGTTGGTCAGTTAGCTAGTGTGTTGGCCTTAATAACCCTCCCGAGGATGATAGTTCTTAAGCCCGTCACCAAACCTAAGAATAATGTCACTTTAGAATGATGTGTCATGTATATAAAAATATTTGCAGTCTCCTTACGAGTCTTGTAGAAGTAAATATTGTCCATAGAAGCAGAATGAATAGATGAATCTTAATATTGTTATAACATCCGTCATTAGTATTATTGTAATTGATGTAACACATCAATCTGAGCTATGCGGGAGGCTCGAACGCTTGACCGAGAGTACTCCCAAGCATGTTGATTCAATACCAGAGTTCATGGGGGGAATATACGTAACATCCGGACTGGCTTTAATAGGGGCTTTCAGACGCCCTGTGGATTCAGTGGAATCCCTGGTTGTATAACTTTTACCATGTCGTGATCCAGGGGTAAAGTGCGCGGCTTGGGAATGCACAAGTCGATGGTTCGAATCCTCTGCAGTGCTCCAACTGATTTTCTTGTCGATACATGACGTTAGTGCGAGTTTCTTCTGTATTATTTTCATTATTGCTGCAGTTAATAATAATAATAATAATATGTCAATGTGCGTACTTTCGTAAAATATTTTGTCGTTTTTGGCCCAATTCCTTGTCACTTTTTCTTCAAGCACTTTAATAGTCACTCTCACAAGACCTGGGCCTGTCTACCCACACACACACACACTTTCAACACATATTTGGCACTTCCACTGACTTCTTGGCACTCCCAACACACCCTGTAACAAACCCTAGGCACTTACTCTTGGTACTCTCACTAACAATCCTCTTAGCACTTACAAGCCCCTTGGCACTCCCTATCACCAGCACCTGACACTCTTGATGTAAAAGCCATTTGGTTCCACCACTTACCTTGATGGAGCCAGCGGAGGCCACTCTGCTGAGGCCGCCTGTGGAGAGGGCATTGTCGAGGTCGAGGGGCACCTTACTCCCGCAGCAGAGCTCGGGGATGTCCATCCGGGTCTCCTGTTCAAGGCAGTAGCGTTAGTAAGTAGCGTTAAGATAAGCATCTTATTGCTTCGTAATTTCAATTATTACTTAACCTATACCTATAATAGGTTAAGTAATAATTGTAATTACGAAGCAATAAGATACTTATCTTACTAAGAAGGTTAGGTAAGGTCGGTGTTTTCTATGAAGCTTTTCAAGGTAAACTAGTATGTTTAGTATGTCACATATGCCGTATTTAATAAGTCAATATTGACTGTAAGAAAGTGCGAGAACGGGTTGCATTGCCCAAAGGGCAGTGACTCGCACGGGCAGCACGTTGTAAACCAAGCTATAAACACCTTTCAAAAGGTCTAACAGAAAAGGTTTTACCATCAAGCTAAAGACCTATTTTTTCTCAAACTAAATACCTATTCTCTTTTTTTCCAAGTTGAAGATTGATTCTGGTTGTACCTCACTTTATAGATCTATTTGGTTCATTTTCCATAATCTAAAAGGCCTATTTTAGTTTTTTCCTCTAGCTAAATACCTATCCATTTCTAGTATCAAGCTCAAGACCTATTTAGTTCTATTCCCAAGCTAAAATTCTATCCAGCAAACGCTCAGGTGTATGTCACTTGGAAGGGATATTGGACAAGGCGCTGGACTCAAGAGGACGGAACTGAGGTGCTCAATCTCTTGGATCACCGGGAATCGAACACTGACCACGCATGGTCCATGCTAAAGACCTATCCAGTTCTATCATCAGGCTAAAGATTTATCCAGTATTGCTGTTCCTTTATTGAAAGGATGATTTTTCATAACAGATTATAATAGAATAACTAATAACTAACACGGTTGGGTAATAATATAATTACCCAACCCGTGGTTGACATGTTCAAAGAATGAATAAAATAATTTAATCTTAAGCCAATATTAATACTCGGTCGCATACTGCAGTTATAATCTTGTACAAACGCAAAAGGAACCAACACGACCGCAAACCTGATCTGCCAGTGAGGATCGAGGCCTCTCGCCTGGCTCTCACTGATAATATACTGATGATACGTGCAGCTCGCTCCACAAGCCTATCCCCTCCCCCCCCCCCGCTCCACAAGCCTATCCCACCCCCCCCCGCTCCACAAGCCTATCCCCCAAGAAGCGATCTCGATATAGTTGTTCTAGATACCTTTGTGGGGGGTTTTGTGGTCTCTAATCCATTGGCATTTGAGGCTTTGGGGGGTCATATTCGCTATTTTGTTTTTATATCGTGTTTATGAGGTCAGTTGAAGTTATTTATACGCTCTGACAGCTGAGCATCGTGTTCAACAAGTAACCCCAACGCAATATTGTTGCAGGTGCCGCGACAGACTCTAATAGCCAGGGAAATTTTCGCAGTTCAGCCTATTTTACGTTGGCTTGTTGACGAAGAGGGCGTATAATTACTTGTTTAAGCTCACCACTCGTAAACCCTCCTCTTGTGACGTCATCACTGACAACAAACTTTCCCGGGTAATACTATGACTTCGTTTATTATATACACCGGGTCCCTCACCGCTTGTGACGTCATCAATGTAAATAAATCTCCAGCAAAGAGCCAGTGTCAATAGAAAGAGGATCTCTCGCTACACAACGTATTAACAAAGCCATAGTGATTATAGTAATGCTGCTCTCTTCATTAATAACGATAATATATAATAATAATTGAGCAAGTTGTATAGTAGTTTCAGCTTTCTAAAATTTGTTATTAATAACAATAAGGAAAATCTTGCTCAAAACTGCAAAGAGCAGCTACATACCGAAAGGTCCCGAGTTCAATTCCCGCTGCAATACAGAAACGTTTGGGGACAGTTTCCTCTCACCTGATGCCTCTGTTTACCTCGCAATAAATAGGTTCGCGGTAGTTAGGCAGCTATTGTGGGATGCATTCTGGGGCAGGTGAATAGCTGGACTAGTGAGGACCTCGGTGAATCCTGTTCCATGTAAAGGGAAAACAGGAAACACACCCTTCTCAACACCCAGTACACTAACCAGTCTTGCAAGACACTGGTCACTAACAAAGCTGACGGTGCAAGCGAGGAGTCACAATAACGTGGCTGAAGTATGTTGACCAGACCACACACTAGAAGGTGAAGGGACGACGACGACGTTTCGGTCCGTCCTGGACCATTCTCAAGTCGATTGTGAATTGAGCTGACGGTGTTCAGCCTTACGCTTGTCACTGTCTAACTAGTCCCACACTGGTCACTGTCATACACTGATTACTGTCAGACAACACTGATAACCCTCACAAGTTGCTGTCTAGCAAGATTCATGATGGTACAGTACCGTACTGTACCGTCACGCTGCTAAGACACTTACCCTGTCATCCTCAGGTGTGTCGATTCTTGAAGTGCGTTTGCCTTGAGACGTATACGTGGAGCTGGCAGGTTGGCCTGACTCCTCCTTCTCGAGGCTTGCATGCTCTTGGTTTCTCTCCTCATCATTACTCGTATATTCAGGAACTTTCAAGGAGTTGTCTAAAGGTAGAGCATCTCTAAAGCTGCTTTCGTCTCCAATTTCGAGCCTCCGATGATGCTCACTAGTGGGCAGAGACGCTGGAGAATCCGCAAGATAACTTCTGGACCGTGTCGAACCTCCCTGCTTGGGATAGCTTACTTTTCCGTGGTGAACTGCGGGAAAGAGTGTGGAAATCTCGGGCGAGTCTTCGAAGTCTACTCTGTACAATTTTCTTGTGGGATGGTTTCGTCGAGCGCTCCGGACACTGTCCCTGTCTGTTCCGGGAGAGGCTCTTCTTGATACCTCAGGCGAACTGTGGCGATGTCTCTTCCCTGTAGATGTAGATTCCGACCTTGCTCTGTCGTAGTTACCTGTGGTCTGTGAGTCTTGGGGGAAGGGGCGAGCCCCCCCTGAACGAAGTTGACTTCCACCGCGATAGGTACGTGTGCCAGCGCCTCTCTCGGAGTTTACCACAGACCTTGGCGTGTGGGAATCTGTTGAGGTATACCTGGGCACTGGGGTACTTCCCCTGAATCGGTGCCTGGTCCCAGCGCGGTCTCCAGCCATTCCTGATGGTCGTTGGTGGGAGGCGGGGATGCTTGTGGTCTCCTGGGAGATCAACAGAGAAGTATTAGTGAATATGTGATGGATTTTTATGGTGGTTCATCTTAAATAGAATTATATATTCCATGTTATTATAAAACTAATGATATAATTGGTCAACAATGGACATTTCTCACTTACTCATCTCCGCCCCTCACTCACCGCCACCCCCTCACTCACCTTCACACGAGTCACGTCGTTGGGAGAATGTGAGTCATGGTTCATTTTCGGAGTGAAGCGCTTCATTTCTCCCTGAGAGCTCCCGCTCCAACCATCCGTCACTATCCAGTGAGGATGGTCTCTATTTCTCTTCTTCCCGAAGTCGCTGACCTGCCTTACTTCGAAGGTCTCGGCTTCCGGAAGAACTCCAAAAACCGGACTGCGGACGGCGGGGGCCGAGGTCTTTTGAGCGTTTGGCATGACGCTCCCACAACAGATGTCCGGACGGTCGTATATTGCCTGCTGAAGAGAGGCACGTAACAGTTTACAGGCGAGGAGTCACAATAACGTGGCTGAAGTATGTTGACCAATCTACACACTAGAAAATGAAGGGACGACGACGTTTTGGTCCGTCCTGGACCATTCTCAATCGACTTGAGAATGGTCCAGGACGGACCGAAACGTCGTCGTCCCTTCATTTTCTAGTGTGTGTGGATTGGTCAACGTAACAGTTTAGCTATAGACGTGTGTCAGGTGTTAATGATTTAAGAATATGACTAGTGTATCAGTCATATCTGTAATATGACAGCCTGATATCACTGATCTGGTATCAGGCTGGTCAAACCATGTCTGGTGTCAATAATCAGGCCGAGAGTGAAGCACCACTTCGGGTATCTGTGTATCAGGCTTCACTTACATCAATAAAGCGCACTTTACAGATTAGAGTTCAATAAAAGTGTGAGTTATTATAACGTCAATATTTGGAAGTAGATTTAGGGATTAAGTATTTACCTCTTGCTCTGTTACCTCCTGTCTGTGCTTGTACCTCTGGCCCACGCCCACGCCCGACACACTGGCCACCACAACCGCCCACATGTGTAGAATCTCTAGCCTCATACTTATTCCTTGGGAGAGACATATTGTTAAGACAACATAAGAATTCAGTAGAATCAAGTTAATGTGATCATTGGTCATGCTGGTGATGACGATAACCACCCACTTTGACTGGACGGTAGAGTGACGGGCTCGCTTCATGCAGGTCGACGTTCAATCCCCGACCGTCCAAGTGGTTGGGCACCATTCCTTCCCCCCCCCTCCCCTTCCATCCCAAATCATTATCCTGTCCCCTTCCAAGTGCTATACAGTCGTAATGGTTTGGCGCTTTCCCTTTGATAATTCCCTCCCTCGCCATAAGGACTAACAAATGTCTTAAAGAATAACATTGTTTTATTGCTAAAGTCTCAAGATTCTCGATTTTTATGACTTTAAATTCCAACTGATCACGACCCTCAGATCATTTTTGCATTCAGACTTTGCAATATCAATAATATCCAGCTGATATCTGGCAACTATCATCGTTACCTAACCTCAGAACCTTACAACTTTCTTAATTTAATTCCATCTGCCAATCATTCATCCAATTTCAAAAGCTTATCTAGATCGTCTTGAAGTAATTGTGAGTATTCTAATATATATATATATATATATATATATATATATATATATATATATATATATATATATATATATATATATATATATATATATATATATATTGGTGTATACTGGCAGCAGGTTTTCTTTCAAACATGTTTCATTGAATATGACCGCATATTCTGTATTTATTATTTTCTGGTTTAGGGCTTCTATCCCTCTAACTATTTTCTTAGCATCAGGGCTTAATTGGAATAGGAGTTCTCCAAAACTCATTTTCGTACTTTTAAGGTGAAGAAAAGAAGTGATTTACTATAGAGTGTATTACACTTATTTGTATAATTTGCACGACGTTTCGAACCTCCATGGTTCATTCTCAAGTGAACAGATCTTACAATACTAGTTGATTTTATACCCGCATTAGGTCAGGTGATAATACAATGAAGGTAAAAAACATGGGGGATACATAAGGGATAAACATAGGGCTGCAGAAGGCTTATTGGCCCATACGAGGCATCTCCTATCTAAACACAAAGATTAATCCAGTGTAATTGGCCTGTTATGTTGGACATTATCTTCTGTGTTGGCATCGATATGTTCTTGTCTTGTCCTTACTCTCATGGTGGGTAGAGTAAATAGTTCCGTGATTTGGGTGTTCATGGTAGGTCGCTCTATTCTTATGTGAATTGCCTCAAGAGGCAATTCGGGTATAAAATCAACTAGTATTGTAAGATTGTTCACTTGAGAATGAACCATGGAGGTTCGAAACGTTGTGCAAATTATACAAATAAGTGTAATACACTCTATAGTAAATCACTTCTTTTCTTCACCTTAAAAGTACGAAAATGAGTTTTGGAGAACTCCTATTCCAATTAAGCCCTGATGCTAAGAAAATAGTTAGAGGGATAGAAGCCCTAAACCAGAAAATAATAAATACAGAATATGCGGTCATATATATATATATATATATATATATATATATATATATATATATATATATATATATATATATATATATATATATATATATATTTATACCTAGAAGGGGTACCACCTCAGGTGCAAGTGTAGGGACCCATAGCCTCGGAGAAGAAAATAAAGAGTACTCAGGGAAGACCTTGTGGATCCTCACTGAACACTTTGATATTTTCTTCTCCTACCACCCCTATTCTTTTAGTGTGTGTGTGTGTATATATCTAACTTTATTTAAAATTTCATTACACAAAAAGGGTTACAACATTGGTTACATGCAAGGTACAAGACTACTTCTTATCAAATTAAAAAAATATATATATGTTGGTATCTAGACTTCAGTAATCTCTTACATAAGACTTACTGCTAAGTTACTGAAGATTTACATAAGTCTTACTAAGACTTTGGTAAGTTTACGTAATATCTATAATGTGTTTCTGCGACTGCTCCAAATATTGCATTCGACTCAAAAAAAAGTTATTCATAAAAGGGACCTTGTCATTCAGTGGTAATTTAGGCCTTGTGAACTACTGGTATACAGGTATATCATTGTCGAGGATAGGAGCCTTGTCTTGCCCCGACTAGCTGTAGGCACCCCCACCCACCTAGTTACTGGGCAGACCCAACGGTGTTTAACCTGACCGAGTGACGCGCACCTCACCCATTACTCTTCTATAAATGCTAAAAAGTGATGCTTGCAATAATCAAATCAATTCTGCTTGCAATAGTACTGAATCAATTCAAATCTGCTTGCAATAGTGGTGATTGTAATGGCAATTTAATAACAGCAATCATGATACTGATATTGGTAGTTGATGGTATTGCAATGACATAAATGTTGAAAATAGTAATTGGGGATAGTAGCAATGGCGATGAAGAGTCGAACCATAAGGAGTGCATCTGATACCACCCCACAGTAAACTATTCATCCAACGTCACACAGGGGCCACCTGCCGGGAACGAGAAAGAGGTCAAAGGTGTCAAATGGCAGCTGAAGACGGCCTGACCCCATTGGGGGTGATGGGGTGAGGGGGGGGAGAACGCTGCTTAGAGACCCCCCCCTCACCGGATCCTAACTATTAAATGTCGGACTTAAATCCATTAATGAGTCTGGGGTCAAGTTGATGTCAACACGCCAACCCCCCTCCCCCTTCCCTCAGGACATGCCTTGCCTCCCCTTCCACTTAGACAGGGCATGCCCCGCCCCCCCCCCTCCCTACCTCCTTGCTCCTTCTTACCCCAGGACATGTCCCCCTCCCTCCCTCCCTCCCTCCCCAACTCCTTGCCTACTCCCCCTTTCTCAGCATATGTCTCTCCACCTCCAGCCCCTCCCCCATCTGCTGCTCCCACAGCTGTTGCTACTTTCACAGCTGTTGCTCCTCCCACAGCTGTTGCTACTTCCACACCTGTGGCTCCTCCCACACCTGTTGGTCCTCCCACAGCTGTTGCTACTTTCACAGCTGTTGCTACTCCCACACCTGTGGCTCCTCCCACACCTGTTGCTACTCCCACACCTGTGGCTCCTCCCACACCTGTGGCTCCTCCCAAACCTGTTGCTACTCCCACAACCTCTTAACCTTAACCTTGAGAGGTTGATAGTCCTTATAAGCTCTGTTGGACTTAACCAACCGCTAGAGAATTATTAAGGTCACTCAAGAAGAGTATACCAACCAACAGGAAGTATGCCTTACCTCAAGATATATTCCAGATCTAATGTAAACTCAGTATACACCTACAAGTTGGAGGGGGGGAGGGTATACCTCTCGCTAAATATAACCCTTAACCACGTCGTTCCTACAAACGAACCCTTCCACTCCTGTTCCTTTTGTGGCTAAGTCTATATTGCTACTAAAAATTAATTAATACAAATATTAATGACTGTATATTTTTAATTACGTTAAAAGGATTTTTGACTTTGTTCTTTTTTTTCACCATGTCGTGGCTTAGTCGGCTAGGGCGTGTGTGGCTGGGAACACCCAGTGCACAGGTTCGAGCCTACATCACTGCTCCTACGGATTTGCTCAATGGTATCATTGTTACTACTAGTATTCCTCCAACGACTTTCATTACTACTTTCTTTTCTATGTTACTATTTTTCTGTAGTTCGAAATCCTCGAAAAGTTCTAAGTTCTAAGCCTCGAAATCATCTCAAGATAACTTCAAGATAGTTACTGAGATTACCCTAACTACCGTTATTATTTTGCCATCACTACTACTATTAGTGTTGAAACTACCACTAGAGGCATCAACAGCTCTTTTCCAATTCAATAAATATCGGTTTCATATGAAATAAATTACAACCCAAAAAAAACAAAGAGCAATATTGCACATTAAGGCAAAGAAGAATATGTTAAACACATATATAGTTACCGGTAAATCCGGGCCCAGGAGCTCAAGCCTTACATTACCTCTCTTTCGTAGCATCTTGAGGTTATCTTGAGATAATTTCGGGGCTTATCGTCCCCGGGGCCCGGTCCTCGACCAGGCCTCCTGTTTGTTACACATCCTCCAGGAAGCAGCCCGTAGCAGCTGTCTAATTCCCAGGTTACCTATTTACTGCTAGGTGTACAGGAGCATCAGGGGCGAAAGAAACTCTGCCCATTTGTTTCCGCCTCCACCGGGGATCGAACCCGGAACCTTAGGACTACGAATCCCGAGCGCTGTCCACTCAGCTGTCAGGCCCCTCATTTGACCACGAGTATTTGACCAAGCACGGTGTAAATAACCTCAGAATATTTCGTGGGTCACAATTTGGTCCAAACTTCGCTGATATTCCAACAATTTGAACTATTTTCTGGATATTCAATAAGAATAGGACAGAAAATCATTGGAAAACATCATCTTGAAGTCAATATTAACGTGATTAATAAAGTGTAGATTGGCCAAAGCTCAAAGATTAATGCAAATTATTCGACATTTTTAATACATCAATCTTTCTGAGTTTAGGATTCGCCAGTTAGCTAGGGCACTCAACGCTAACTCTTGTAATAATCGTCTCTGATTTGTTGATGAAATTCGCTGTAACTGGGACAAATGTGTTCAACTCGGAGCATTATTTTTGCCCGAGTACGTAATATAATTCATTACGGCTGAACGAAATCATCACTACACAATATTTTACGTATTTAATAACTCAAAACACAGCGGCAAGACATTCCTCGAGTTTTAACTATTAGTTGTAATTGAATTGATCACACGTCAATTTTTCCCACATTCACACAAGCACATTCTCTGTCCAAGTTTATTTTCTATATACAATATTAATACACTGCACAGGACACTGGTATACACACACGTATATTTTCTATGCGAGTCAAGAGAGAGAGAGAGAGGGTGCAGGAGCGGCCGGGAGGTGTTCCTCCTTCAGCGGGCGTCTGCACCGTTGTGTTGAGAGAGCAAGAAGAGGCGTTGACGCATGCTTGGAGCCCCCGCACTGCGCATGACGTCACGTTTCCCCTGTGCCATGCGCTTTGCGCACCCCTCTTAGCCCCCCTTTCTCTTTCCCTGTGCCTTTATTTCCTATTCCAACCCCCCTTCCGGCATTGAATCTCTCTTGCCATTTCTTTCGTAATACGACGGTACTCGGCCCCAGTTCTTGTTTAGCACACTCTGCCCTACTGAGCTGTTGTTGTTTTCAGATTTAGCTACTCAGGACGAAGTGTCCATGTAGCACGGGCTATGGTGATCCCGTAAACCCTACTGAGCGTCACACACAGAGATCACAATAACGTGATGCATCAAATGAACAAATCCACAAGGGTTTGTCCACAATGCCCTGTCGTAGCTCAGTCGATTAAGGCAGTGTCTGGGATGCTCCCGGACGCAGGTTCGAATCCTCGTCACGGCCCTTGTGGATTTGTTCCTACTGAGCGTGTTTGCTTCTAGTAATTACGGCGGGTCATGTCCTACTGAATACCCGCGGTGGCTGTCTGCCACTATGCTGCCCCACAACATGCCCACTCTTGGCATTCTCACTCATCCTTGTCCCTTTGGTATCTGCACATCCACTTTCCCAGAATTGAGAGGGTGACGTAACCTATCCCAGCACCCCCTCCTATCCTCTGCTCCCCCCTCCCATCCTCAGGACTCCAGTGTCATCAACTATTTCTTATCAGTTACCCCCACATTCTTCTTTATTCTTTCTTCTTTTCCCTCCTCGCTTCGGCAGCACCTATGTTAAAATTCAGAGCGCTGCAGAGCTCTCAGAGCTGCAGAGCTAGAGCTTGACCCCTATTGACCCTATTGACCATGCAGGTCGGCGTTCAATCCCCGACCGTCCAAGTGGTTGGGGCACCATTCCTTCCCCTGGTCCAATCCCAAATCCTTATCCTGACCCCTTCCCAGTGCTATATAGTCGTAATGGCTTGGCGCTTTCTCCATTTAAATAAAATAAAATTGACCCCTATTGTACTCACGCAAGATTTACGTGGTCGTTTATTCCATAGAAATGAACAGTATTGTTCCTTTTTTTATATATATATATATATATATATATATATATATATATATATATATATATATATATATATATATATATATATATATATATATATATATATATATATATGGTTCCTATATGTGTCCGTTGTGTATACGTATCATTAATAGAAGATAAATAAATTCAGCTAATTAAGTTTTTTCATTATATATCTCGCAATAGTAATACTATACATGCTTTACGACGTACGCAATCGAGATCTAAAGCAAACTATTGTGACGCAACTTTGAAACCAATTATAAATGCGCGTACCTCCCGCCAAACACACACCGAAACTACGACGTTGATACAACGTTGGAACAAGTTTTAACACCTCCTAACCAGTTATAACAACCAATATAGCAAGTTGTAACAACGTTCTAATACGTCATAAACACGTTAAGCCAAGATGTAACAACTTTATTACAAGTTGTAACAAGCGGAAAATAGAGACAGTTACGGTTTGTGTTTCCAGGGCTGTTTGTTCTTGAAGCAAGATTACCTGTTCAACAACACCCTATGAACGCCTCACCTGGGACCACGTATGTCAGCCATATAGCCAACTTCTCAGGTTTTTATTTTATTTATTTACCTGAGACATTTGACTGCAAAAGTTATTTTTGTATAATGTTTCTGGATTTAGTTCGCTTCAGTTCCTCAGTCCATTACGTGCCTGTATAACCTCCACTACCCTTCATGGGATGGGTACATGTGGCCCACTATCCGTCATGGAAAAGGTACTAGGTCCACTATCAGCCATGGAAAAGGTACTAGGTCCACTAACACCCATAGGATAGGTAGAGGCTGTAGAATATATATAAACAAATTCAATAAAATAGTTCACTTTACTCCCATGCCTTTATAGTCTTCCAGCTTTACTTTCTCGTGGAGCTTGTTCTCAGAGATGACAGCATGGAGCACGCCACACAGAGAGAGAGAGAGAGAGAGAGAGAGAGAGAGAGAGAGAGAGAGAGAGAGAGAGAGAGAGAGAGAGAGAGAGAGAGAGAGAGAGAGAGAGAGAGAGTGGAAGGCGATAGGAAGGAGAAACTATAACAAATACTCCAAACAATGAAAACTGAAGATGCATTACCAATGATAGAGAGAGAATTAACAGCTGCATAACAGCTCCCAATAACTTGATGGCGACTTTAGGTTAGACTTATATGATGGAGAAGCTCAGTTGATGTGACAACACCGCGGGCGAACTACTCACTTGGCGACACGAGGCAATTTGACCTCATAACAAAGGAACAAAAGTGTTAAGCACTAAATTGCGAGCCTCAATATGTGACTGTTGTGTTGTCCTCTTCTGCTTTTATCACAACAAAGTTAGTTTATCATATAACAGCTGAACAGTAAACAAAGGGGAAAAAAAAGACTTTTTGGACAAGTCGCGGCAATTTCGCGTCCCAGTCGAGGCCACTAGATATATCGTTCCCCATCAGGTAAATTCGGGTAAAATGAACTTAAATGTCACAAGCAGGGGAGGAACAACCTACTTTGTAAATGACATGACATACGAGGTTCATAATTTGTATATAAATAGGAACAAGAGACATCTAATCAGTTGAAGTCACATAACACGGCTGTTGAAAGCTACAATACGCTGCAACTTTTGCGCTTTACAACGTATGAAGTCATATTATACAACAAAATTCCGCCTACAGCTGTATTAACTAATAATGATGCAATGTTTCCCTTATGAATATAGTATCTAAAAGATACTACCACCTCCATCTATAACTTTAAAGGCCAGATACGACAACGAATACGAACGACAAAGAATGCGAACGACAAAGAATACGAACGACAAAGAATGCGAACGACAAAGAATACGAACGACAAAGAATACGAACGACAAAGAATACGAACGACAAAGAATACGAACGACAAAGAATGCGAACGACAAAGAATGCGAACGACAAAGAATGCGAACGACAAAGAATGCGAACGACAAAGAATACGAACGACAAAGAATACGAACGACAAAGAATACGAACGACAAAGAATGCGAACGACAAAGAATGCGAACGACAAAGAATACGAATGACAACGAATACGAACGACAAAGAATGCGAACGTCAGAATAGTCAGGGGCCAGATTCCCGAAGCAGTTACGCAAGCACTTACGAACCTGTACATCTTTTCTCAACCTTTGGCGGCTTTGTTTACAATTATTACACAGTTAATGAGCTCCGAAGCACCAGGAGGCTGTTTATAACAATAACAACAGTTGATTGGCAAGTTTTCATGCTTGTAAACTGTTTAATAAATGTAACCAAAGGCATCAAAAGTTGAGGAAAGATGTACACGTTCGTAAGTGCTTGCGTAACTGCTTCGTGAAACTGGCCCCAAGAAAGTTGACATATAAAGTGCACCAGGTACAACCTAGCTAATAGTGCTTACCTAACAGTGACAATAGGGGGGTGTATGGTGTTACTATATATGTATTATACATTGCTCTGGATGTCTAGTAAAAATATAGTATATGTTCCCTGGTGGTATTAGGCAAGTACCGCTAGGTAAGTACCGTTAGGCAAGCATCGCTAGGTAAGTACCTTTAGGTAAGCACCGCTACACCGAACCTAACCACAAATGTCCCGCCGTGACGTCACTGTGTTGTTGTAGCGTCAGCTGTTTCACAGTGACTACAGCTGAGCAGTGCCACAACGATGCCAGGCACCCAGACACCCTTCCCCCACACACTCCCCCACACACTCCCCCCACACTCCCCCACACACTCCCCCACACTACCCCCCACACTCTCCCCCCCACCCACACTCTCCCCCACACTCTCCCCCCACACTCTCCCCACACACTCTCCCCCACACACTCCCCCACACTCTCCCCCCACACTCTCCCCCACACACTCCCCCACACACCCGTCATCACACCGCTGTGATAGATGTGCTCCAGATACTTAATGAGCAGTTTAAATGGCATCTATTACCCCCCTGGTAATAGATAGTGACGCAGGCTGCATGAGGCTGGTGGAGATTCTTGAGTGTTTGTGTAAGGGGGGGGGGGCGTTTATTATTCGTTTTGATGATGTCATAATGGGTTCCTGAAATGTTTTGAGGGAGAAGGAGATGTTATCGCCCTCTGAGGTCAGTGGCAGGGGGTTCGTCCGTGACATTTGGGAGGGTGTTCATAGTCTCGCTCTCTCTTATGTCTTCGTAATTCCTTCTTCCATTACGTGTCTTTGTTTTTAAGCTTCCTGCTCTCCACTCTCTTTTCTGCAGCCTCGTGGGGGCTTCTCTCTCTCTCTCTCTCTCTCTCTCTCTCTCTCTCTCTCTCTCTCTCTCTCTCTCTCTCTCTCTCTCTCTCTCTCTCTCTCTCTCTCTCTCTCTCTCTCTCTCTCTCTCTCTCTCTCTACCCATCTGCCTCTCCTCGTTCCCCAGTAATTCTGACTTCCAAACTTACGTGATACTGAGGAAAGAGAGAGTCACTTCGTGTTGATATTGATCTTAATTTTGATGACAGATACATATGCAAGGTCGTAGGCGTGATATGTGAGGTCGTAGGGGTGATATGTGAAGTCGTAGGGGTGATATATGAGGTCGTAGGGGTTATATGTATGATCGTAGTGGTGATATATGAGGTCGTAGGGATTTCACACACCCAAGGATTGGTCTGATAAATGCCAACTTGAACTTAATCCAATCAGATTTTAAGTTATATATGTATAAAAAAAACACCTTCGCCTCCCCTCCCTCCCAAAAAAAAAAATCGCGGTTGAGTGGACAGTGCTTGGGGGGGTCGTAGTCCAAATGGCTCGGGTTCGATTCCCGCTGGAGGCGGAAACAAATGGGCAAAGTTTCTTTCACCCTGATGGGTCTGTTCACCTAGCAGTAACAGTAAATAGGTACCTGGGAGTTAGACAGCTGCTACGGGCTGCTTCCTAGGTGTGTGTTAGCGAGAAATATATGTAGTAGATATAATAGAGGAAAAATAGATTGGTTGGAAA